ATTCACCGAAGGTGTGGAATTTTCCTAATCAATGTGTTTCAACTGCTGGTACATTTCTAGCATTTTGCTTAATGTATCTTATATGAAGAAGCAAACTTAAAATACTCAAGTTTCATAAATCTCCAAATAATCACATAAACCCAATTACTAAATCCCTATCAGTGGTTCTCAAACTTAAGAATATGTAAAAGTGACCTAAGAAATTTATTGAAAGTGAAGACTCCCGTATTTCCTCCCTGTCATCCTTATGGTTCTGATTCAATAGGGGATCTTTATTTTAACAAACATGGGTGATTCTGATGCAGCTGATCTGTGAACCACACAAAAAAATAGTGCAAGCGAATATCAGCAAGTTCACCCTAATATTTATCAATTGCAAAAGAAACAGTACTCTGCTCCATCCTCTTTCCTGCATCCTAACATAACTAAAGAAAAGAGGCAACTAGCAGGAACTCCACAGTTTTAACCTGTTAGCTATGGCCAGATTTTCTGTAAGGACTCGAGCGTACAGTCACAAAGGAGCCAAGGAATGGCATAAAACAGCCCCTGACTTTCCCCTTGCACCAACTATTACTACATACAGAGGGCCTCCAGTGAGATCCTTCTCTATAGTCTCAAATATATCTAGAATTTAGAACATACTAAAAGGGTTTAAAAGGAAGGAATATGCCCAGAAGCTATACCATAGCAAAATTCCTCTATCAAATAAGATGTGGGGTTTTTTAAATAAAATAAGATCAAAGGGCTCTGCTTACCCCACTAACTGGATATCAAAGCACTAGTTTCCTTTTTATTTCCTGCTTTTTTAAGACTATGTTGTTTGATTTTACATGAAGACTCTATGTTGCATGTTTAATTGAAAATGCAGCTGCGAGATGCATTTATTTGCTTAATTAAACAAAAGTTAAGCAAAAGTGATTTAAGTTGCACCTTAGCTTGGTGGAGTAAAGGACAGGGGGAAGGAAGGTTGAGAGAGAGGATCTTGCTGGGAAGGAAGACCCAGAATCTCATATTTTAGGATTTCAGTCTGAGGACTGAAACCCAGCCCTAGGGGAGAGGAAGTAATCGAGGAAAGCAGACAAATTATCCAAAAATAAACAAAAAAAAAAAATAGAAGCATAGCTGTCTTGCTATTTCCTAAGCCTTGCCTGCCGTTAGCTGGATAGCTCAGTTCCTCCCAAGTCTGTCAGAGAACAGGGCAGGGCTGCAAATCGTATGTGTTACCTTCCAGATGACACTATCAGCTCACCGTACAATATAGTCGTTGCCTCCGAGGCTCACAGTGGCACATTTCTTTTCCTTTCCTTCGGTCTTTATTTGAAAGTTTTCTTCTCTCTCACGGCACACCCGAGCACCATAGTATCCTGTTATAGAATGTTCTCCTAGTGTAATTCAGAGGAAGCTCTTAGATCTGCATCACTTTCCTTGCCTTCTGATTTTTCAAGATACTTCTTAACTCAAGGCCTGATTTTCAGCAGTTTAAAAATAGTTAATTTGGCTTTGGCAAATCCTTGAGAATAATTTCTTGAATTCTAAAAACATAAGTGGCTCTTAGATGCTTTTTCTTGGAGGGTTAGTGAGTAGGTTTTTAGCAAAAATTATTTTCACTACAGTTTTGGTGCATGTTGATAATGAGGTAAGGGTCAAATAGGATTTTCACATTGGTCAATGAGTTTCACATTGAGGAAAAAACAGTTCTTTAGGCAAAGCTACAGTTTTATCTCCATCAGATAACTAATAAGTATGTGAATTCATTCATCCATTCACATAAAAAATATCTTGACCCACAACTAGAAGGACCTGCAACTAGGATATACAACTGTGTACAGGGGAGGTTTGGGGAGATAAAGCAGAAAAAGAAATATATCTTGAGAGTCTACTGTTCTATGTGGTGGGCATGCAGTGGTGAAGTAGATGGACAAGATCCTTTGGGGGTTATATTTCAGTGTGGCACAGCTAGTTACAAGAAGGTCATGCAATTATTGGAGGTAGAAAGGAGTTAGCTAACCTGAACCACAATATCTAGACAGGATCTGCCACTTTCACCAACCCAAGGGAGAAGTAATAGGGATTCCAAAAGCTCCCCACCTCACTTTCTTGCACTAATTTGTGAATGCAAATGTTTGATGTTCCAGGCATTCAATATCTAAATGTTGAAAAAAATAATTCAATGAAAAAATCTAACATACATCCTATCTATAATGGAAAAATTATGTCAAGTGAAGGTAATGCAATACACTAGGAATCAAATAACTTAATTTGTAATCTTTCCCTTTTTTCTCTTTGTGACCTGGGCAATACAATTTGACTCATAAAAATGTGTTGATGGTCAAAGTTTTATGGGCATACAAGTGTGAACACCTTTCTTTGTCCTCAACAAGCTTCTCACATGAGAGAAAAATACACACAAACACATGCATGCCTTATCACGCACATACACAAACATACACATAAACCTATAAGGGAAAATTTTACAGCAATGGGCTCAAGACACACAAATGTCTATGGTTAGAGGAGTGTTTGAACCAGATCTTCAAAAAAGTCACATTTTCACAAAAGAAGTAGGCAAGAAGTGAGTAAAAACATTGCAAATGGAGGCCTCATCATGAGCAAGGCACAGATAGAGAAAGTATGTGTGGGCACAGGGAGACAGGTATTTGAATGTGATTTTGCATTTCAAATTTATCCCCTAAAACCATAGAAGGCCCTTAGGCAGGAGAATGCCATGATCCTATCTGTTCTTTGATGGCAGTTGGAAGGAAGGAACAGGGGAGAGAATGGAGGCACAAACACCATTGGACCTGAGTGAGGCTGAGGGTTTGAACTGGGGTACTGGTAGGAGAAACATATGAAGAGAGGTGTGGAGGACAGTAGCGGTAGGGCACTCCTCATGCTCATGAAAACTTGGCTCAAGAGTAGTGGAAGCACAGTAATTTCACTCACCAGAACAGTACAGTTCTTCTGTATTATCTGGAATTTTTAAATAGATATTGAGTACTTACCACGTGCCAGGTATGAGGTGACATGTTTTGCAGGCATTAGACCATTCCATACTTAAAACTACAGTGTCTTGTCCTGTACCAGAGTGTGTGGGCAGGGAGAGTAGCTGATTCATCTTGTACCTTCTCATACCAGCACAGTCTATTAGGAAAGCCTTACATGGTTGTACTTAGAAGGCATGAAACGACTGTATGCAAAAGAATTAGTGAATGAATGAAACTGTATTTAAATTCTCAGAAAGCTTGGCAGTTTTGGGCAACAAATAGGATGTGCTGTGCAAACAAGGGAATGGAGTTGAGGAGTCTCAATCTCAAGCCTAATTAATTAGAAGGAGGGCACTATTTATATGGAAAACCCAGGAGAACCTGATGTGCTGTGGTAACATACTGTTTGTCTTTTTGCAATATTGAGTTTAAAGTACTAGAAGGATAACAGGGTCTCGCAGAAAAGCTGAACTAGAGCTGTAGATCCACAAAGATATCATGTAACCTCTTGGAGCTTCATTTGTTCAAGGAGGTTGAAAATATGATGGCTCTAGACACACAGAAGAAAAAACATTGTATTCTTAGTACATTACTGCCTAAGAGATTGACTAGGGTGAAGTCTGGCGTCAAGACTTCAATGTGGAGCCCAGGAAAAGGTTAGAGATAGAGACTAAAGGGAAAGTCTGTAGTCAAAGTCAGATTTTGCACAACAGAATGAAGAAGCAAAATAAAAACCAGTCTTGAGACAGGCGATCAAAAAAAAAAAAAGAAAAAGCAGAAAATGATTATGGGGAATCTCCAAATACAGATTTCTGTTGCCTTCCTCTTTTCAAAGAAGCATCGTCTATTAAGGGAAATCCCCAAGATTTTGCCTCCTTGAGAAGGAATCTCATCTGCTTTTCATTTAAGTCTCAAGATTCATCACACTGATTTGTGGGCTATGGATAAGATAGAGTTTCCCGGATACCAAGAATGAGAGACCTGCAAACTATTATGAGCCATTAAGTTCCCAAAGGTCATCACAGGTGAACTACTGGTCGGGCTTCTGGGAAAGATAAATGGGAATGTTATGGCAAGACATCAGCTGTAAAGCAGAGTGGAGACTGAAGCTATGGTTATTCCCAACTAAGGCATTCTCTTCTCATGTTAATAATAGCAGCTAATATATACTCAGTGCTAACTCTGTGCTAGTTCTTTTCATGAATTAATCCTTTTGGCTCTGACAGCAAGACTATGAAGTGGACCCCTATAACCCCCTCAATACAGGTCATATAATTGAGGAAAGTAAACTTGAAGTTTAAATGACTTCTCAAATCCCACAGCTAGTAAGGGTGGAGCTGGGTTTACCATCAAAGCACTCTCTCTGGAGTCTTTGCACTTAGGGTTACCGTGGCAACTGCCAAAGAACCTTAAGCTCCCAGGCAAGCAACTGCTTGCCTCTGAGGCAAGGAATCTCTCTAGCAAGACAGCTAGGAGAGAACCTAAGGAAGGGCTTGACAGCAGGAATCTTAAGCATACTTAATTTTCATAGGGCTTTAGAATTAGCGTCCATTTTAAGAAGCGGATGTTCTGCTTTCCACCCAATTTGAACCAAGTAGTTTCATACTATTTCAAATTAGGCAATCCTTTGAAGATGCTTCAGCAATCTCAGCAATATATGTTCTGAACCACTGGATATATAAGACTCAGTCATCAGGTAATCATTATGAAGAGACATATTCTCAATTGACAAACATTCTAAAGTAAAAAAAAACAAAAAAGAAACAAAAAAGCAAAAACCTTTTAATTATCCTATTTTCTTAATTGATTTTCATTAATATGAAATGGGTTGCACATCTGACTTATTTTAAATCATTTAGTATTAATAGGAGTGCCTTTCAGGTGGACCACTCTGTATGACTTGCATGCTTAAAAACCATTTTTTATTCTAATGTCTTACAGCCACCCTAGGAAAGGAGTTCTATTGTTACCCATCCCCCCCCCCCCCGCCATTTTATGATGAAAAACAAAAACAGAAGCAGAGAAATTATGCAGTTTAACCAATATCCCATAGCATCACAGTCTTCGAATAGTCAAGTTACATAAATGTGGTTATAACAATGGACCAGTGATCTTTCCAAAGCAGACTCTAAAATTCTAAAAGATGTAGAACAGGATTCTAAAAAAGAGGCTCACTTCTCTAAGACAAATACAATCTCATAAGCTCATATCTGACATATGATTAACAAACTCACACTAAATTTTTAAAACTACTTGATTTGCTTTATCATAACTAGTAATATATAAGAATTTTGTACATAGTTTATTAAAATAACTGAGAAATAGGATCTTTGAACATTAATGAAACAACTGAAAAAATAGATTATTGAATAATTACCCAATGTTAATCCTTAAGAATAATTGTTATAAGTCAACCTTGTGAATTCAAGATAGGCACATTATTAACAATCATAAATATTAGAAATACATTTGAAATGTCCATATGGTTAATATACACAGAAAATTCATTGACTGAAATCAGCTGTGAAACCTAGCTTGGAATTTGGTTGGCTATTAAGTTTCATTTTGTCTCATTATTTCAAAATTTAAATAGTTTGGCCCATTTCTACATTTGTTAAAAACTGTAATTTTAAAATATTAAATAAACTTTACAAACACATAGATATGACTAGCCATTTCATCTAAAAATTTATAAAACAGTTATTCCTAGAGAGCTTTCATGATCTGTATTTCAAAAACCATCACTATTTTGTACTTATAAACCATATCCTTGCATCATATCTTTGCATATATCATATCCAGATATGAACTGTAAATATGCTATTATATACTAAATCCCATATCCCACTTTTAATTACCCTATTGCTTTTGTTAACATAGACTGTTGCCTCTAATAAAAGAATGACATATTTTTACAGTTTCAATGGCAAAATTAAAGGTTCTTTGTTGAGGAGATAACAAGGCAATAACCAAGATATTTGAAACAATAACGTTAACATTACATTGATTTTAAGAAAAACAAACATAAAATGGAAACAGAATAACTCACTTTATAAGAGAGGAGAGACAGCTTTTTAAAATATTTAGATTCTCCAACCCAAATAGGAGTTTTAAAAATAGAGAGAAGAGAAAGAGAGAGATGAAAGACCAAAACCTTGAAGGTGTAAAAATACATTCTGAAAGCATTTTTTAAACTTAAAGTTCACTGACAAGGTAGGTAACAGGAAATGTGGATTCAGCGCAGGATTTTACACAGAACAAAACCTAGAAACTAAAGTCCACCAAAATGGAATTGTAATAACAGTCAGTGCCTGGTTGGACTCTCTCTTTGTGTTATGAAGAAAGGTCATGTTATAAGAATAAAACAATAACAATGCAATATACACACTTTATAATGTTTAGGGGAACAATAGTTTTCAAGCACCATACAAACAATTAATTAATTAGCTAACTGAAGATAATGTTAAAACAATGTCTCTACAATTTGCTATCAGGTTATACTTCAAGTAATCTATGATATAGACTTGAATTAATTACACTTTATTGCACTGTAAATTGGCTGTTGTCATTATACCCAAATGTAAACAATAATGCAGACTTCCTTAATTTTTCTTTCTGTAGGTCCTCTTGGGTGGAAGGCAAGTAATTAAAAACTATGGAAAAATTGTGAAATTTGTGTACTTATTTACAGTATCTCTCTGTAAATGTGCATTTGGCTAAGGAGATCCCATCAAAATAATGGGGGAAAAGTCCCAAACAAAGCATCTTCTATTTTTAAAAACTGAGAACTAAAAAAAAAAAGAGATGAAAAAGCCACTGGCTTTTATAGACTTAAAAGAAAACAATCATCTTGTTGTGCATGCTGCTGCTAGTGTCCTAAATTTGGGTTCCAAATGATCCAAAAATTCAAGCCCGTCTTCATCTTGTTGTTCACTGCAACAACCTACGGAACCGGCCATCGATCCTTTTCCTTCGTAGTTATACGTAAGGACGTAGTCTTGAGCATGGTTATGATTGTCGTCCTGGTTACACAGCTGCACCTTCTGCCAAAGAGAAAAACACAACACATTTTATTATTATTATTTTAAACACCAAAACTTACTAACATAAAAATAATTGCTTTGATTTACCTTTCATTGTTTAATTTTTAGTCAGTGTCTGTCCTCTAATGGATTCCTACATATAAAAAATGCACACGATTGGTCTCTATCATAAATCACACTATAAATTCACTATATAGCATGTTTCTAAAAGTCACACATGTGGCAGTAAGTTTACAAGTGTTCATTTTAAGTAATCATTACTCTGCTTTTCAAAACTATGGCTAACGTGAAATGCATCCATTAAACTGAACCCAAGTTGACGTGGGCTCAGATCTTTCTAGAAAGGTATAGTGACTGTGCAGGCTGGAATTGCCTTGTACCACACTTTTGGCTTCTAAGGTATGACTTGTCAGATGGGAACAATTAACACAAAGTCATGAGAAAAATAATTTAAATATCATTACACACTATTTCAGCAAGAATTAAAAACCAAACAAAATATGAGAAAAAGTAAATATCCACTTAACATCTGAACATATCTAAATTAAAATGAAGGAAAAACAACTTTCTAATTAGTAGATTAATAATTAATTGAAAATAAAGGTCAGGCCACTAAATTGTAATCATTTAGAAAGTTGAAAAGAAACCCAAACAGATTAGTAGGACACTTAGGGAAACTCACTTCACCAAGATGGGACTGAGTGAAATTACGCCACTCCGTGTAAGCGTATTGGCGGTTGTCCACCTCCACGTGTCCTCCCCTGCAGGAATCCAGGGTGCGCTGCCCATCTCCCCGGTCCAATTCCAAGGTCTGGTGTCCTTTCACCAGCTCAATGTTCTCCTGCCTTCCAGTTTTCACTCCTGATCCCATGGTGCCACAAATTCCCTGAGCCGAACTGCCCACGGTATGTGTTGTAAAGCCATTTGTGGAATACTGAAATGAAACAGTTTGCATTGGGGAAATACAGAAGGCAACCAAAAAATAAGAAAAGAACAAACAATGCAGGCAAGGCAGTGAATTTTTGTGCTAGAAAGTAAGCTTTCTGAGGGCAGGAACTAAATCTGCCTTGGCAATTCTGAGTGCCTAACTACAGTAACCCCAGTACTACATGTAGAGTCTAATACAAGGAGCAAATTGCAGATGTTAAGTGGCCTCTACCTTGAGACAAATCAGAAAGCTAAATGGATATTTCCTCTCCAAAACCTTCTCAGAATACTGTGCAACTTTTTTCATTTGTTAAATCCGTCCAGCATCTCACTCCTCACAATCAGGATTACAAAACTATTGTCTTACGTGTATTTACCCTGCTTAGTTTGAATTCATTCCCTTCACCTGACTAGGGCAGAGACAGAAATAACGATCAGTGTTTATAGTCAGTGTCTCATCTAGTTGCCCTTCAACTAAAACAAAAACAATAGAAATAAAGTTCTCACAAAAATCTTAGCTGCAACAACAAATCCCTGTGATCTAAAAAAATAAAAATAAATCAGGCAGGGAAAATACTAATGACAAATCTTTGGCTACTCATTGTTTATACTGTGTTTTTGTAGGAAACTCTAAGTTTTATTTTTTCCAATACCTTCGTAGATGCCAACATCCTTCTGTTCTCTAAATCTTTCCTTCCCTAATTTTTAATTATGCTTTTTATAGGAAATTCACTTGTTCCTTGTCCACACACTGAGCTAGAAATCAAAGATGGAGCAATGTAGTCACTTGCTAGCACTCCTGTTTCTTGTACTTGGCCTCAGCCTTCTTTCTAATCCTTATTAGAGCCAGAAAGAACTCCATTAAAGTTCTTCCCATGCTGATCAAAGCTTGTAGTCATTTTATTGCTGTTGCCAGAAAAACATTAAAACACTTATGCTGATGATCTGTAAGTAATCAAATGAAACATTTTTACAGAACCAACAGCAGTTTCAATACATAAAAAAGACTGAGCCTAAAGTTAAAGCCATGAAACATTTGAAGTAGAAAATAAGAATGACACGTTGAAGGCTTTTTACTATTATCACTGCATGGCCAAACTGAAATGCTATGTATCACCGTGGGAATCAATGTCATTTTATCTGTTCCATGGGACCAATGACATTTTATATATTGGAAGTTACCTGATCTCAAAAGAACTTTGCTCAGAAAAGGTAATTCTAGTTGGTTAGGTCAATTGATCCTTTGTATTTATTTTAAGAAGACAAACTACTTACCACTTTGTCGTCCCCAGGAGCTTCCGTGTTTGACACAATGAGGTTCTGTTGGGCTAAATCATCAGGAAATACTTTTGGTTGCTTGGTTGCCCTAGAAGCCCCACAGACTAAGGTAAATAGGATACCTGGAAGATGCGACAAATAACTTCAGTTTATCATAAAACAATGTCAAGTTATGAATTTATGTTAACAAATACAGGACGACTTTCCAGAATACATAAATATGATTGCTTGTGTCAAAGTAGCATACAAAAGTCTGCCCTCCAGCTAGGCCACAAAGACATGCTATATGCTGTATTTCTAAATTGAATTTTATGTCTATGCTGAGACAACACTAGAACTGCACATGAGCGCACTCTCAATACAGAAATTAAGTTTGTGTGTTAAATAGAAATGCAGCTATAGACCAATGAACAGCTATAGAAAACAGTGTTGATTCTAAGAATGTGTCTTGAAAGTTATTTTAAAGGCTATTATTTGAATTCATGAAAGGACTTACAAAATAGCAATGCTATGCCCAACAATATCGCAAGAATGGCCCATGTTCCAAGTTTTACTTCTCCGTTGCCAGTCCTTGGACTTACGCGAGAGGTGCAGTCATTTTCGATAATACAGTCACATAAAATAACGGTTAATGGAGTAATATGTGACTGGCCAAGTCTATCTGCAACTCTGATAGGTACTGTGTATGTTCCAAATGGAAGGTCATTCTGATAGGAAAGGCGTGTTGCTGTATCTGAAAGAAAATAAAACCAAACGTTATAGAATGTCATTGATTTCTCCTGAGCATAAATAACTAGTGATAGGATGTGTTAGTGTCTTCCAATAGATTCCGACTCCTAGCAACTCTGTGTACAGCAGAGCCGAACCCCGCTGGGTCTTTCTGAGCCATCCTCTCATCTTCTGGTGCCATTTCAGACAATGCTCCACTGCTATGCATAGGGTTTTCATGGCAAATTTTTTCAGAAGTGGGTGATCAGGTCCTTCTACCTTCTTCCTAGTTTGTCTTAGTCTGGAAGCTCCCTTGAAACCTGTCCCCCACGGGTGACCCTGCTGGTATTTGAAATACCGGTGGCATAGCTTTCAGCATCACAGCAACACACAGTGGCCACAATATGACAGACGGGTGGTGTGATTCCCCGAGCTGGAAATGAACCCAGCCCTCGGCTGAATCTTAACCATTGGACCACCAGGGCTGGCTGCAGTGATAGGATATTCATTATATCTCTCTACAAATGGATATCCCTCATGGGGTGGCACACTGCCACGAGGTTGTAAATGTGAATGCACTGAGTAGTTCTAATTGACAGTCACTGCAAATATACTGCATATAAAAGTTTGTCTATGCTGCCTCTTATAGAAAGGTCTTTTGGCTTTTGTAATAATATATTTTATCTGTCCATAAATGAATCCTTCCAATCAAAAGTAATAAACTGGTTAAGAGATTGGTTTTTATCACATCTTTAAAATTTTTCATATAACTAGTCAATACATATTTTCTTTTATACATGATTCATCAGAGAGTAACAGTCTGAAGTTCTGGATGTTTCTCCTTACTTTGGTTTCATATATTGTGCCAAACAAGCATAAATAGTTCTGACTTATTGTCAGAGACTGATTTCTGACAACTTAGAACATCGCTAACCTTGAATGTGTTAGTAGGCAGGAATCAAGCTGCTGGAACTTCATCCCATGGTCCCCCAGGACACTGGGACCACTTGTGTATTTTTTCATTTTTATGGATTTTTTTTAGGTCAAGGGTAGAAAATATCCAGGCCCAAATCCAACAAAGTCTTGGGTACAGAGCCAAAGATAGGCACTACTTCGAATGCAGATCTCACACGCCCATGCCCAGGGATAATCCTTCTCCACCTAACTGGCCCAGTGTGATGTTTTCATTTATTTTTATGCTGTTTGCAGTTCTAAATATAAATCTGAATGTTTGAGTAAAGAAATCATTGAGGGGCAGGCCCTGTGGCCCAGTGGTTAAGTTCGTGGCGCACTCTGCTTTGGCAGCCCAGAGTTTTGCCAGTTCGACTCCCGGATACGGACACAGCACCGCTCATGAAGCCATGCTGAGGCGGCATCCCACGTGCCACAACTAGAAGGACCCACAACTGAAAAAAAACAAAAAATACACAACTATGTACCGGGGGACTTTGAGAGAAAAGGGAAAAAAATAAAATCTTAAAAAGAAAAAAAGAAATCATTGAATTAAGTCAATTTTAAAAGAAAGCATTGTTAACCTCGTAAGTCTATGTATAAAAAATAACAACAAGGGGCTGGCCCAGTGGTGTAGTGGTTAAGTTTGCACACTCTGCTTTGGTGGCCTGAGGTTCGCAGGTTCTGATCCCAGGCGCAGACCTAGCACGGCTCATCTAGCCACGCTGTGGCAGCATCCCACATAAAATAGAGACATACTGGCACAGATGTTAGCTCAGCGACAATCTTGCTCAAGCAAAATGAGGAAGAATGGCAACAGATGTTAGCTCAGGGCCATTCTTCCTCACCAAAAAAAAAAGAAAGAAAGAAAGAACAATATGACTAATAAAACCAAAATTTGTGATTCATAATGTGCCATGGTCTATTTTATTCACTATCTCATTTACTCCCTCAAATCATCCCATTTTACACCAGTAAACTGATGCTCAAAGAGAATAAATAGCACAGTCAGATTTACATAACTAATAAACAGCGGAGCTGGCACTTATCATCAAGCCTATCTGATTTCAAGGCCTAACTTCATGTTTCCCAGGCTTTTGAGTTATTTCATACCAGTAAATCCTTAAAATAACAAAGTTTTAACCCACATAACCCTGCCAACATTTCATTTTGCTAAATATTAAAAATTTTTTAAATTATTAAATATTAATATTATTTATTATATTTTTAAAAATTAGCACCTCCTTCAACACTATTTTCAAAAATATAACACTAAATAAGTAGAAAGTACAAAATCTAAATATAAAGTTAATTCTTCCCAAGAAAGGACAGTTGATAACCTCACACACACACACACACACACCCGCTGGAATATTGTCATTAAAAAAATTGAAAATTTTGTCAGTTCACAAAGCAGCATTCAGGACATAGTGCCTTAAAATCCATCATAGCTTCCATATGGTCTTTTCTTCCCCCATTCTGTTCTCCCTTTCCCTTCTCTCACAACCTTTCTTTTTAAATTGAGGAATATTCATTGGAAGCATGAGGATGAAAACCCTTCAAGGACATTTTAAAGGCAAGCCCCATCAGTTTACAGTGGCTCTTGAGGCACAAAACCTGGAGTGACATGACATCATGCCCACAGGTAGTGTAGTCAGGAGACAAAGAATGTGCTGAGGAGTTAGGAGCTGATGTAGGAGGGATGCAATGGGGATATGAAGAGAGGTCCCCTTCACTTTTGCTATTCTTGTCACCATAGATCCTGTCATAGTTAAGTCAGAAGTACGGACTAGGAACCAAATTGGGGGAGAATCCTGAGTAGAAAACAATAGACAAGAAAAGGTCAGAGATCAATGCAGCGCAGAGAGGAGGGAGAGCACAGCAGACACTGTGATGTACACACAGATCCCCTACAATTGAGGACTTACTGTCCCAGCTGCTTGGGGTCTGTCAGTATCTTCAGTGATTGTGCCTTCCTGCCAAAGTGCCCCTCGGGGTAGTCCAACCCACTGATTGAGCAATGAGTGAGGAGAGAGACTCAACTTGGGGCCACTCTGAAGGGCCACTCAGCTCAGACTCCCCATGGGCTTAGCCAAGGCTGTTCTTGGCCTGAGCTGCCACTTGGCTTCTCTTTTTGCCCAGTCCCCCTTCCCTTCCTTTCACAGCTACTGAAGTCAAGCAAACCCCTTAATCAACATTCCACCTGAGAAACTGTCTCAAGAGTCTGCTTCCTGGGGAACAGACCAGCAAAAGATGGAGATTCCCTTATGAACTAGGAAACCATTAGCATGTAAAGAATCTATGTAGGTGGGAGGTACTCAAGTCAGGAAGTGATTATATTAGACCTAGTCTAAGGATGTGTGTGTGTGTTTGGAGTGGGAATGAGAATTCACACAACACCTAAGGGAATCCTGACACAGGACTGATCAGAGATAAGCCCTAGAAAGGCTCATTTCCCACCACAGCAAAACTGAGACACTTTCCTTCTTTCATTGCTCATTCCCAAAGTGAATTATTCTTCTATTTCATCAAGAAAAAATATTTTAGATACACTGATGCTGAAAAGGACATAACAATGTTTAGAAATACATACCATTAATTCCTGTCAGTATCCACCTTCTCTGTACGTCTGAATCAGAAGTACTCTCCAAAGTGAAGTGAAAGGGTGGGCCGTTTATTGGTTCATCAGGATCAACGGCAACAATCTCCGCAGACGACGTGACAGGTTTGCAGATTATCACTTGCTGTTTAGGTATGGAGGGACCATTGTCGTTCACATCTTCTAGTATAATCCCCAGTGTCCCAGTACATGATCTCCCATCTAGAAAATTGGATATAAAAATACAATTTTTTAATGTTTTGAGTTGTCAATAGGAAATTATAGATTAAAAAAACTTAATAATTTATTAGGCACTTGAAAGATATAAATGACAGTGAGAAGCACGGTCACAGGCTATGTTCTTAGAGAATGTTAAAAGAAAAAGATTATCACTGTCAAATGGGTTGTACAGACAATAACCGTTATTTAAATTTGTCATTCAATCACTAGGTGCAATGACATGGAAATTTTTATGGGGAGGAGTTTTGACTGATTTTTAAAAGGAGAAAGGAAGACAGTACAAACAAGGGCATTTTTGGTATATTTAAAAGTAGGAGGAAACTCAAGGAGGTGGGAAGCAGAGTATGCATGCCCGTGTTCTGGCAATAATGAAGGGGAAGGCAGCTTGGTGGGAACTGACACCGGAGAGAAGAGCCAAAGGTTCTTGAAAGTCAACCTCGGGAGGTTGGAGTTGAATATACTTATAGAAAGTACTTAAGGTTTGAGGGCAGAGAAATTGAAAGGTAGAAGATATGCATTTGGAAGGTTAGAACAAAAATAGTACGTGGAAATGTTTGAAAGGTGAAAGACTCCAGAAGTGGAAAATCACTTGCAAACCAAAATAATCACTCTGGGTGTAGCCTATTGAACTCATCTATCTATATATTGAATACTAACTTACTGAAGAACTAGTTTGTACAGGACACTCTCCTGGAAAATCTGGGGGATTCAAAGATGAGGTGGTCATGGGTTCAGGTCACAAATTAGTGATACAGTTGTGAAGTCTGAAGCTGAATGCAAATTCAGGACTTCTATCTCTAAATCATTAAACTTTCTGCTTAATAAAGAGGACTTGGACATCAGTGATGGAAAAAAGGGTGAAAAAAATCTGTGCCACCCACTGCCTAGCGCTATGTCTTATATGAAACTGCCATCCTAAGAAAGCTGGAAGACCAGGCACAGCCACAGTCACAACCTCGACCAAGGCAACAGGACCTGTGATATTTCCAGTGCCATTGTGGGTCAGGAGCCACAGCCCACCAAGTTAAGAACCAGATCTGAAACGTGGGCCACAGAAAAGGACAAGTTGGTGGCACAAGACTGCTAGGCGGTAAGGCAGGAGAGAGGAAAAAGCCAAAGCAGATCAAACACCTCCCATTTAATATAAGCTTGCAAATTAAAATTCCAGATGGAGCAAGATTAATGTGAAAAGGAAAGTCAACAAAATCACCAACCAGAAGATTAATTCACTCTGCATGAGACATCTCTGAAACATGTATATTTAGCATCTCTAAAGACATAAAGTGTAACTGTTTAAATAAGAATGAAATTATAGCTTAAACTCCCCTAGGACTAAAACAGCAAGTTTCATCTAATAAGGACTCCAAAGAAGAGAATAAATAGAATGGCAGGGAAGCAATATTTAAAGAGATAATTGCTGAGAATATCCCAGAATTAAAGAAAAATATTGATGTTCTATTTTAAAACATACTTTGACTGCAGTGCTAGGTAAATAAAAACAAATTCACGGCATAAACATTGTATTAAAACTGTAGAATGCAACCTAGGGAACCAGAAAAGTTGCTTGGACATATTACCTACAAAGAGACAATAACTAGGTTGACAGCAGAATAATAAGCATCAGCAACAACAGATGCCAGAAGATAATGGAGTACTACCTGCACAGTGCTGAGGGAAAGAAGGAGTTAACTCAAAATTTTAAGCCAAGTCAAATTGTCAAATCAAGCATGAGAACGATATTAAAATATTTTTCAGAACAATAAAACTGAGAGGGGTTATCAATCAGCCACCTCCCACCACGGAAAAAACTAATAAAGGATGTACTTCAGCAAGAACAAAAGGGAACAAGGAGAGAAGAAATGAGATGCAAGAAACAATGCAAATCTCTCTCACTTCGGACAACTTAAAAAAACAGAAAAGAAAGCAAGCAGGAAGATATGTATGTTATCTACCTGGCATACTTTTCTATTAGGGCAGAATAACCTCACCTCTCAAACTCTCTTGTTCCCATGCTATGTGGTGTTTTCTTGCTCTTTCTGAAAATTGGGACTCCCGGATGTCTTGAACATTTCTTCGCATTTGGGTCCATACACAGAGTTGAAAGCACATGTCTGACTGATTGAACCTGGTTACCTGTATTGTCTTTGAATTGGCCTCTACAGTGCTGTTCTACTGCTGTGCTAAGTGCCTGAATTTCCCTTCCATTAAACTTTTCGAGTTGTTCAATAAACTCTATTTTTTTTGCATATTCTGATTAGTATTGGTATAGGACATGTAAACTAAAGATCTCAGACATCTAATTCACAGTGTTTCACAGTTCTGTTTTTCATCTTTTGATTACACAAATAAAACTCTGATTCATTGGAGTTTATGCATGCAAATCTCACCTTCTAATATTGATATAATGCTATATGGGTAAGTGCTAATTTTAAATATGCAGTCACGAAGGGGGACTCCCCGTGGTTCCATGATTTATGTGCATGGCTCACTCCTATCAAATGTTTTTTGGGTTTTTTGGTGAGGAAGATTGGCCCTGAGCTAACATCTGTGCCAATCTTCCTCTTTTTGCTTGAGGAAGATTGTCTCTGAGCTACCATCTGTGCCAATCTTCCTCTGTTTTGTATGTAGGATGCCGCCACAGCATGGCTTGATGAGCGGTGTGCAGGTCCACACCCAGGGTCTGAATCCGTGAACCCCAGGCTGCTGAAATTGAGGGCACGAACCCAACCACTAAGCTACTGGGCCAGCCCCTCAAACCTTTTAAAAATTTGAAATCACACTCCTCCTAAAAGATGGAATAATACAACAAAAATAAACCCCTAAAACTCAGCTATAGAGAGGAGCTACCTGGGTGAAACAGTCAACAGAGTTGAGATTGAGAAGAGATTGAGAAGAGAAACAGAACTCAAAGTTTAAGAAATAGCTATGTTTAGCAGAGAGGAAGTTGGAAAACAGAAAGCATATACAGAAGAAAGGAACATGTGGAAAAGTTTACACACAGAAGCTTTAGGAGAGAGTCTTAAAAAGAGGAAATAAGTAGAGAAGTAGGAGGGTGGGACGTGAGCATGGGCCTTGAAGTCAGAGCTCACAAGGAGAAAGCATTTTTCATTAGGAAGCAGCAGGGAGGGCCCCAATGAAATTAGCCAGTATAGGTTTTAGAAAAAGGTAAAAACAAAAACAAACAAAAACATACTTTTGTATAATCTTAGTTCATAAAATAAAATGATGTGGAATTATTTATCCCCTACTTTCTTCAAAAGAAATTAATGAGAAAGGCCCCATTACATATTTATTCTAAACCACAATGATGATTAAAAGTGCCCCTCAACTAAACTCCATAAAACTATTTGATGTCTCAATTATTTTATCTCCTCTTCAACAGAGGAGGATGTAGAATAATATTATACACAAAAATCTCTAATTCCAGAGAGTAATTTTTATCTCATCTATCAAGAAACAATTTGCCAAGTGCTGTTAAAAATATAAAAATAATGGATTTAATTTTCATATTTTCTTCTTTTCATTTGTCGTTGACCAAAAAGCATGTCTTGATAAAGGGACAAAGGAAGCTGAGGACTTAAAGGACAGTCTTTAATTGGCTGAAGTTAAATTAATAATGATTACAACTTTACCAATTCAACCAATGGATACGAGCCATTCCTCATTAATTTAGAGACTTGAAATACAAAACACCTTCCAAAATCACTTCTAAATTTTAATTTTTCAAATTATAAAGTAATAATGATTATTGTAGTTAGCATGTTTATTTTACAGAAGTACAAAGTTTAAATGTTTGTTACAGTAAAATTATATTTTATGCGCTAAGTGGATCTCATACATAATCATTGTGCTCATATTTCTCTCAATTTTGTAGGACTCACAGAACATGATTTTACATTTTATATGATTATATGGATTCATAGTGCTTGTCTTCCTAATTTTATAACATGCTATTAATCATGACTATGATTCATTTTTTATAATGTCCTTAATCAGAATTCTAACCCCCCAATATATTGCCAGTTTCCTGTAAAAAGATAGAACTGTTTTCTCGGCATGCACTATGGGTAATAAGTATGTTCTCTCTGTAATGAATTTTCTTGCCAAAGTGAATATTTTAAAAGATACGACTAGATAAAACGAAGCTAATTTCTTCTAAAGTAATCTTCACAATTTTTAATGATTAATTTTAATGAGCTACAGTTTTAAGCATTTCTATGACTAAACTATTGTATAATTACATCTAAAACCGAGGGTGCTATTAGAAAGTAGACCTGAGTTAACAAATTATAGCAAACCTCTCAATTACTCTATATGTCATCTCCAAGAAACAAATTTTGAGAATGTATACAGCAGACCTAAAAATGTGTGTTATTGGTTTAAAAACTGAAAATGTATGTAGTTGAAGATGTATGGAGCTATCTTAAAAACAAAGTTCTTACCTTCGTCTGATGCAACCACTGTAATATTATATATGCCATTTCTGATGTTCTCTGCCTCTCTGTCCAGGCTCTTGATAACTGTGATTGATCCTGAGTTTTCATCAACAGTGACCCACTGTTTTGGATCATTTAATTTCCTATACCTGTTGATAACGATGAATTAAAATAACAAAATGTATCATAAGCCAAATTATAAGACCAGTGTCAAAATAAGTTATAAATTTTAAAAACATAGCAAATTTGGAGTTAACTGAAACAGAATTAGAAATACTTTATGCCTCTGCTGCTTCTTGCTTCTGGGTCATATGCTTTATATCCATTGCTCGGTGTTCTCAGCTGTGTATTTTCTTTAATTCGAACAGTCTGCAGTACAGGGCTACACTCGGGGCCCTCATCCTGATTTTGCACATTAACAGTAATGGTCGCCGTGCTCATAGCTGATCTTGAGCTAGCCTCATTCGAATACGGAGCTTCATTAACGACACCAATTTGCAGGTTCACCTGTTGTCTTTCTTCATAATTCAGAGGCTACAAAAGCAAGCGTGTTGAAAATCAGATCAAGACATTTAATATTTGGCAATGCTAACTTGGAAATACGTAAGTGCCGTGTTTGGAATAGTCATGAGAATGTTAAACATAGAAAGGAGGCAAATCCTTCAACTGATTCAGTATTTGCATGGAGCCAGCAAGAAAACCTGTTCCTCAACGATAAATTTAGCAAACGTAATATCATAGCTCTTAATAACAACTTCAGAAAGTATTTAATGAAGGTGCTTCAAGGTTAACACTTGAGATATTATTTTGGGGACTCCATACCCTAACCAACTGTTATTTTGTTACTCCATTAATTTGGGGACAGCTTATTCTACTCTCCTGAGATGAAGAAAATTATTTATACCTGGTTTGGGGTAGAAAACATGGGTCAAATTTTATAATATATTTTTAAGAGGGGAGCAACAAGAAAATAGAAGGCTTATGGACATTATACTCTCCTTTTTTATCTCTTCTATCTCAGTTACTTTCTAAAGAACTGGCAGTATCAAGTTTAATGGAAAGTTGTTACTTCATTTTGCTTGATATGTAGTTGTGATGAGAACGGGTGAAGCTATTTTCTAGAAGACAGAAATTTTGTTAGGTCTTGGATTTCACAGAGATAAATTTCTTTCTTAGAATACCAAGGATTAGGGCAGGGGCTGACTGATGACACAGACAAGATTTAAAGGACATTTCTTTGTTGTTTTGAAACAGAGAAATTAACCCACAAACTGCAGCTAATTTTCATCGTTGTAAGCAAAAAAGATTCATCATTTTGGATCCATGCTCCTTGTGAGTATGTACAAGAGGGAAACCCCACAGACTCACAAAAGCATCATGTTCTAGTTAAGGATGAAGCAGAAATAAGCCTCTAACTCTGTCCAAAGGCAAAAGCGCTCAGATCACTTTATGGACTAACTCTGGCTCCTGAATTACCTGCGAATTCTTTTGAGACGCTGTAGAATAGGATTAGAAAGAGGTTTTAGAAGTATTGACATCTTTGAATGGTTGAGGATTCCTATTTTGAACCGGGAAGCTAAGGATGTAATGGACACTGGATACAGATGGACAAATTTACAAACAGCCTCCCCATGGGTCTGACCAGGAGTAACTCATCATTTGGGAAATTCAGTAAATAAGTGGAGGCTCCTTGACCCAGCTACAGAAACAAATGGGCTAGGAAAGTTTGAAACTGTCCTGTTGGCTTCAAAGCTGTGCTAGTTTTTGAATTAAGAGATGTTGGTTACAAAGTGGATACTATATTAATTGAACATATATAAATCTATATACATTTTTTAAATCATACCTTTATAAAAGGTTCCCCAGAATGAATATATTCATTCCATTATATATGAGGAATATAACAATTACATTCACTTATATATCTATTTTATTCCTACATTTAGCAGAATTCCTTTCTTTTCATTAAACTCTAGTATACTGATCTGTGAAATTATAAGCTACAAATAACTAATTTACTAATTTATTCTTACCTTAACCACACACAGAATTCCTTCATTGGTTTTGAGATCTGTTACAATTTTAAAATTTCCATTTTCATTGCCCTTTAAAATGGTATAATTAGCTCTCCAATTAGCAGTGTTAATTAAATCCTTATCTTCAACGGTAACACGTAAGATTTCCACATCAACTGTATTTTCTTCCACTGATGCCACATACTAAAATAATAAAAACAAACAAAATTTAATTAATAACTCTCATAAAAACAGAACACCATGTGAAGTAAGCCCGATTCTTCTAATTCCAAAGTACTATGTTGACATAATTTTAAGCCCTAAGTCCAAGTTGCTGTCTTGGGGGTACTTTACTTGAAATCACAGGGCATGGATGGAAATGTGCATATTTAGCAATTAACACCGGGTGCACATTTTTCTTTTACTAATTTCCTGTACTTACAGAAGAACGGGTGAATGTTGGCAAGTTGTCATTCACGTCTTTAATATCAATGATGCAAGTTGAAGTAGTTTGCAAACCAAAATACTGACCATCCATGTCTTGTACTTTTATTTTCAACTGGTATCTATCAACTAACTGAAAAGAAAATAAAATTTAATTATTGAGTGAAGGCAATATTATAAATGAAGTCTTGATTTACACTTGATAATTTTCCTTGCCTCAAAGATTTAAGAGGTATGCTATTCAATTTCATAGCTTTCATACAATGGCAGAACAAAAATTTTCTCATACTAGTAATTTTCAATTAATTTACGAAAATAGAGTAGTTTCTCAAATTTAAAGTGAAACTCATAGAATATGGAATCAATTGGTTTTAGTTTTACTCAACAAAAAGAAAAGATGTAGCCGTAGTACATTTAAAATTACCTAGTAACTATATCAAAATTTTTATCTCCTATCCAAAGAACATTCTTTGCTCAAGAATACATAGCAGTGACTCTTGTACCCATCTCACAATAAAACAATAAAGTGAAATATGCTCCTGTAAAAAAGATATATTTTAAATATTTACATTTATAAAAAGATCATCAAATTCGCATGAAAACAAAGGTCTGGGGCTATGCAATTTCTTCTCTCAGTGGAATATAGAATCTGGCTATTAGGGCTTTCCACTCATCAGAGATTACAGAAGGTTCATCACTAGTTAAAAAAAAGTGTTTCTCTTCGTATCGGTTTCATTTATCGTAAGTCCTTGAGATACAGAAGGATTAAAAACAACACTAATAATATCCTCTTGATTGAACATTAGGAGACTCTGGTTCTATTCCCAACTCCAAAATTAACAAATGTAATCTCAGGGAAGTTGGAAAATTCTTTTTACTTAGATTTCCTCTTCTATAAAAAAATGATAACTTTCCTAAATAATTCACCTCTTTTCATAAGACAAAATAATATGTGAAAAACTATCCTAACTGTCTTCCTAAAATAGTCACTCTTCTCTCACATTGCCACCTTCTTCCCTTAATTCCATTACCTCTTAGACTTTCTTGTTCTCATGCATTACCTAAAATAGAACTAAAATTTCTTTATATCTCTATGCTTTTTATATACATAATTTTCCCAGTTTACTCTTCTCTCATAACCAATCACATATAAAGACTTGAAAAATAATGGTCTTATTTCATTTAAAAATTCTAAAAACCTCGTGCTAGTGTACTTTTAGGAGAGAATACATATTTTGTTTGTAGTGAACTAAGATTTATTGGAAACAATCAATTGGCTGACAGAACAAAGAAATGAAGATTAGTGGACCTAAATATTGGCTTATGATATCTTCAGATGGAAAAAAAATCCTGATGTTTAAGAGACTTAAAGGGTTGAAGGTAACAGATGAGAACTGGAAATCTGGGGTCACAAAGTGGCTCCAGAGCACTCTTGGGTAAAGTACTCCAAGACTCCTTCGTTAGTCGAATGTTTGCAACTGATTTATCGGAAGGATGTACTTGAGACTTGATGATAAAAGAGGATTTAGTTTATAACCTGCTTTTCTTAAGCACATAAGTTCCATAAAGAATCTATATAACTGAGGAGCTGTAACAGCAATTCATTCATTCATTTATTCAGCAAATGATATTGATATTATATTCCTCACTGGCACACACTAACAGTAAAAATAAATGAATTTATAAATAACAAAATAAAATTTTAATAAAATAAAATTTCACTTAGAAATATCCTGTAGACACAGTAAAAGGACTAATTTTATTAAATTTCAACCCATAGTCTATGTGAAGAAATGACAGCTATGCATAAAACACTTCTGCTGCGTAACATAGTATGATGTTCTTCTCAAGAAAAAGTACTTGTGTGATTGTTTGACTTATGAGCTGAACTAGCTAATGTTCTTTTCATAGAATACCATTTTTATGTAAAAGACTCCTATGTTTATTCAGACTAGTGTATTTTGAAGACAGTTTGTCACACATAAAATGATTCTGTCACTTCGAGGAAAACAACTATTTGTTGCCATTGATAAACTGGAGTTTTCAAGCTAAAATGAGAATTCTGGAAAGCTTCTATCAACCATTGTGCTAGTAATGGAGGTGAGGAGGTCATTTTTTTCAATATTGTTTAATGAAATGTGTCAATATTTGGAAGCTCTGCATAACTCAGTGAACCAATATTTCCCAAATGACCAATGCATAATCTTATAAAATTGTATGTGGCTATCTATGCACTCACTCAATATATAAGATAGACCAATAGATTTCAATGTAACAAAGTTCGAAAGTTCACTGACAAGGCTTCAGAATGCACACAGCAAAAAACATTTAAGAAGCTACCACTTGTCAATTTTTGATGTGGTATCAAACCATAATATGCACAATGATTTGACATTACTATTAAATTACTCCTCTCTTTTCTAACTTCATATCACGTTGGATTTTCCTTATATACCTCAGCTAAAACTACATATTATGACAGACCAAGTGCAGAAGGAGTTACGAGAATCCATCAGTCTTAGATCATCAGGTATCAAAGAGACTTGGAAAAATGCATAATAATTCCATTCTTCTCACTAAATTATTTATTGTTTTGAAAAATGTGCTTATTCAATAAAAATGTTCTTTAGGTTAACATGTAATATATTTATTACTATTTTAAATGGGTAAATAAATGCATACTTTAAACATTCATCAGTTTTGAATACTAATAGAGTAAATATTGATAAATATAACCCATATAAATAAACATCTTTGGAATCCTCAATAATATTTATGAGTGTACAGGGGTCCTGAGACCAGAAAATTTGAGGACCTCTAATGGATAGGGAGAGTGAGAGGAAATGAATCTGATATGACGTTTTAGGAATTAAAGAAATACCTGACCAACACATTTCACTATATTTTAAGATAAGGGATTAGAAATGTAGTAAGTAGGGCAGATAAACTGCTATAAGAATTCAGATGAATAAACACTTGGTGGAGGAGTAATAGCTGAATAACCAAGTGAATGAATTACTAAACCAGGACAGTTGCAATGGAAATGGGCAGAATATAAATGTAACATCATTTCGGAGTAACATCAACATGCTTTAAAAAGAGATTTGATCTAGGGCGCAAGAGGAGGCATCAAATACAATTTTGAGAACATGAATCCAAAGGAACAATAGAAAAATTATTAATAAGAAAAGAATGTATTAATGTTATTCTAACTAGAAGACATGGGAAGGAGACAGCATGTTTAGAAGGAAAGACAAACTCAATTTTAGATGTATTGCATTTTAGGTACCTGTGAAACATCTGAATAAGGATTTCTAGCAGGCAATTGAAAATGGTAAACCAGAGATCAAAGAGATATAAACTTTCTCTTAGTCTATGTAAAGAGAGGTATGTAGATGAGATTGTCAAGGAAGAGATGACACAGACAGGAGATGCATTGTTATCTGTGGATAATAAATTTCCACACATTTCCAAAAGTTTCACCTTTCATATTTGACATTTCTTGTTTTTACTATAAATATATAGTATTTATACTATAAATACTGTAGTATAAGTGTATACATTATAGTCTAAGTATGTATACTATAAATATGTTTATAGTAGGAAATTTGATTTAATAAAACATTCAATTCAGGAGAGAACAAATTAGGAGTTCAAAATTGGTGCACTGCAAGGTTAATGCACTCCATCGATATACTTAAAATAATAATTTTTCTAAAATTAGATTCATAACATGCTTTTCAAAACATATCTACAGTTGATATACAGAGAAATACAGGTACTACTAAATAGTCATGTGATAATCAAGTTTTACTTGTTAATATTTATGTTACCTCTCTGTCTAGTTGAGATGATGACGTGGTGATCATGCCTGTAGTTGGATGCATAGAAAATAGGGTGGGTGATGCTGGCAACTGCTGGATGATGGAGTACCTCAGACGCGTATGCATCGTGTCAGGTTCATCTTTGTCAGTTGCACACACCTGTCCCACAGTAGAACCTACATATTGAAAAATCCTCTTTAACTTCCAAAACTTATACATTTTCAACTTTCCTTTTATCTTACTCCTCTCCATCTATCTCAAAAAAGATTTGGAGCACTTAATTATATATCAGAGTAATAGCTTTCATAAATTTGCAGGCTACTACATAAAGTATCACTTCCTCTTAAATATCCCAGCATTCTAACATTTGAAATTTAGTGACCACATACATATTTACTTATAACTTTATAAATGTTGATAACATCCCTTCATGGTCTTCGTATTTCTAGACTAAGGAATTCTAATTATTCTTTAATCTTTTTCTTTTTGTAAGCCTGCACGTAAATTAATCGTGTGGGTCAGTTTTCTCTGAAAATTCTTCCTTTAGTTAGATCTGTCTAGAGGAAGACTTGAAAACTGTATTCTGACTTCCAGCTGAAATGGCCCATTTTCATAAGATTGAGAAAACGTTTGTATTATTCTCAGCCACCTTTGTAATAATGCCCAGAATACTGTCAATCATTTAATCACTACTGAACACCAGTACACCTTACAAGATTAAGACTTCAGTTGCCCAAAGACATTCTTTTTAGAGTACAGTATCTTAAAAGTATCTGTTTTATCTCACACAGGAAAGCAAAGTATCATTTCTTGAGTAACTCCTGTTTTTCAGGCACTGTGCTTGGCATTCCATGTGTTATGCTTCCTGTAATCTTCATAACAATCTTGCACATTGACATCCCATTTTACAGATAAGGAAACTAAGGCTTATCCACTAGGAAAATTGCCCAAGGTCACGTGCACAGCTAGTGAAGGGCTGAGTACAATTCTACCCACAGCAGCCTGACTGGCAAGTCCCTTGTTCTTGCTAGCAGGATATTCTCCCATATATTGTCAAGGTAGGTGCTCACCAACTCTGGAATTTTCAGAAACTGTAAACATGTAAGTTGTTTCTGTAAAAATTGGGTAGTTATCATTTTCATCCTCAATTTTGATTACTAGTGGCAGTGGAAGTTCTGGAGTATACCCATCCGGAGTTGTTGCAAAGGCAATTAGCTGTGAAGAGAGTAAAATAAGAAAAAAAAAAGGAAAAATGAAATATGGTTCAAACATGCTTTGGCTTTGATTTGGAGACTGTTCCGCATTTGCAGTGTGAGTTTCACCACGTGTCATTGTTTTGGGATGTGGACATAACCCTAGTGCCACAGAAGTGGTTAATTTCATGGGATAGTATAACATTCCATGTTTAAATTTATCTACTATCACAACAGATAATTTTGCTTTCCTCACCATTGTTGTATTGTTGTTCATGAGTTCAATTGTTTTTATTATTATTTTCCCAAAACAGTCTTGAGGATTATCTTGTTTCATTTTGTTTGAAAGTTTTACATGCATGGATTTAGAATACAACTTTCTGGATCTTATTTAACGTTAAATTCTGAGGATTCCAAATTCCCCAGGTGCAGTTAACTGGAATACTATCCTATGTTCTACTAATTAGGATTTAAGGCATATTGATGGTTAAATTGATATAATTCTCTTCATAAGAATTTTTTAATTCAAAAAGGAGGAGTCTGAAATAGAACAGATGAATGGCTGTAAATTGTTATGTGAAAAGCAATTTATTTCTTTTGATTTTACAAGAAAAATTTCAAATCCAATTTTCCTAATAGCAGCTGTCATAGAAAGAGCAGAACATCACAGGTACTTAGAAGGCCATGTTGTGGCAGTTCGAAATCTAAATATTTCATTCAAAATTTGCATGTCTAATCAGGTAACTTAGTCTACTGATGAATAACTAATTAATTCAAAATAGATGTAAAATAATTAAAATTGAGTTAAGGAAAATGACCAGGTCTTGTTGGGAAATCAACACAATGTTAGATTAAATTCTTACATATTAACTCATTCCACCATGGGAAGTTAATCAGTTGATAAAAAGACTGAATAATCTTAGTTAAGCATTGTCTATACTCCTCATTTGCTCACCACAAGTTAACTTTCTCCCATTGGAAAAGTACTGAGGCTTAACTTCTGCACTTCACTTACCTCCTATGGGATCTCTCTCTGTACCACACGGAGGTTCACAGATCTTTTTTGCCAACTAAATACCTACTCTTCAAAGTGGTGCTCTTTTCTTCTTTTGAAAAGAAATAGTAAAACTACAATACCAAGAACAATCCAGTAGAACCTAACACTATTTATTCTATAAAATTCTTTTTGCTTCAAGTTAAGTCTGTGCTACCAGAAATAGCCAGAGCAGAGATGACAAACTCAGAAGGCAAATGAATTGAGAATGAGAGATGAAACAGCCAAGCTTAATACTTACTTATACAATATGTAAACTTTAGACTTTACCTCAAAAGATTCATACTCCTCACGATCCACAGGACGAGTGCAATACAGGTTTCCAGTATCTCTCTCTACATAAAATAAATTTTTAGGTTCTCGGTCAACTCCAGGCCCCCTTATGGAATAGTAGATAGTGTAGTTCTGGGCTGTGTCAGATTGAATCTAGAAAGTATACATTATATAAAAAGAGACAAATTTTTTATTTCAGCAAAACTTTCATCCATAAACGTATGCAATCACATTGCCATTTTTATTGCAATGAGTAATAACTCTCTTTAATTTATTATTATATATGAATAAAAAGCAGCAATAAAATAAGGCAACCTAATAATCAGGAAATTTCATGAGCCAGGCCTGAGGAAAATAATGTAGTAGCATCTTAGTTTTCCAGAATAACTTTAAAGGCGAAATGGTGCCTATATGGACCAAACATTTAAGACTTTTTCTGTCTTAGAAAACAAAGTATTCTGAGCATGTAAAATTTCCTTTTTTCAATTTTTTTAAACCTGAATTTTTATTATATATAACATAATACTTAAGACACTGGGTTTAAAGTATATTGTCTGTGGAGCAAAAACTTGGAAAATGCCTTTCTTAATTAGTTTTTGTTACTTGTCAGCATCTTCTTTATTCTAAGAGCTGAGGGGGGAAAAATGAGAATAGAAATGGTGTACTATCCTGGCAAATGTGATATTTTGATTCAAAAAGCAAGTTTTTTCCAAGTTGTTTTCATCCCCTTATATCAGGATGCCTAAAACAATTATTTTCTAGCAATTTCTTTCTCAACTTTAATATGCTCTTCTCTCAGTTGCGTTAAATTTGTTGGTGGGATACAAAGGAAGATACTCTCTCACCATTTCAAGAACTGAGGGAAAAGAAACCCAAGTCATAGACTGAATGTTACTGGCCACTGACAGTGGAAGAAGACAAGAAGATTCGCGTAGGTTGCCAGTAAAATTAAAAAAGGAGAGAAAATGTGGAGCCGGTGTGATTTAAGCAGTGGACTTGGACATAAGCAACAGAAAGGTGTATGTGTCTTTGCCCTTTATCGCATTTGTTCATTTATCAGTGATTTCATCCTTTGTTATGGAAGACATTTGGGGGTTTTCTAGACTATGCCCAGGTTCTGTGATGCACTTGCTGATAGGAAAATTCATTAAGAAACCATGTGTTTGAGAGTGCTAGATGAGTTTTACAGTTTTATAAATGACCTTTGCATGACTAAAACTTCAAAAAGTATACGTAGGTATAAAGATATATATTTATATCCATATATTGAAACATATAATACACCTACTCATTCATTCATATATTCATACACAACTATTTTTTAAATAACTGCATACTCATTGTCCAAATTAAAAAAAAGATGGAACCCATAAACTTTCACAGTGGAAGAAAAGTAAATTGTACCTGTTGCAGAAAAAGGGGGAAAGGACCCAAGGAATTCTCTAGCACTGAACAAGGAATAGGAGCCCATCTTCTCTTGGCACGTCTTAGAACTTTTTCCTTAGAATGTCTTTTCTTTAGTACCTCAATTGAGAAGACAGAAAAACAATGATAATGTCAATGACTACTTTATTCTCAAACATTAGAACTCTGATGCATCTTTTTCCTCTCATGAGGATTAGCTGGGGAGGTGTAAAACCATGGTGGTGCTTGAAAACCACACTAAATATCAACACTGCAAAAAGACAATGAAGAAATAACTGCCCTGTTAGCACAGCAATCTCTTGAGAAAATAACTTGGTAGAAATATGGAAGGAAGAGAGATGGAATTGGAAGCCTAGAAGCAAAACTGGGAAAATAAAAATTGCTGTTGCCATATTGCCATGCAAAAACATGGGAGGAGAGATACGTAAAGAAAATAGAGTGTGTGTTCTTCTAAATTAGCATAAGCATCTTCCACTCACCAGCAATTAGGAAGAGCCAGGGGGCCAACAGAGAGATCTGTGTCAGAATGAGGAGAAAAACATGGTGACAACTCTCAAACTGTGGCAGTGAGTAACGGCCAATGGTTGAATAGAGGTCATTTTGATCTTGAGTGTGACAATATAATAAGCATGCATGAGGTCTGAACCTCAACCTAAAATAGTCATCTATTTTCTAAGATTACAAAATGTGCTGTCTAAGATACATGAGACCTCCAGAGATAGAGTTTCAAGGTTTCTTTTTGGAAATCTATTCAACAGTAAAGATCAAGAAATACTTCTTTGTGTCCCTCGAGTTCTTATGCTGTAACATATCCCAGTTTCTCCTTTTATGTCCCAACTGAAAAGGAATTACAACCTGTAATAATCTATGTTGCACAACCCTTTTCCATTTGAACATTGTTAAATTGTGTCATGTTTTCCATTCTTCTTCAAGCAAACTATTGCATATCCTTTCTGATTCCACATCTTCCCTGGTAATTTTAGTTACACGTGAAGAAAATATTTCACTATATTTCATTTTTCTAGTTTGGTATACCTTTGTTTGATGCTCTAAAAGGACAACCATTTTCTTCTCTTCTTGGTTCTCAGTGTTGGAAAGTAATATGGTAAAATTTCTCTTCTCTGAAGACAAAAGAATAGCATTCTTTGTATAGACTGAACCATCTTCTAAAATTTGGAAATCAGGATCACTTGAACGAATTAGATTTGCAGATTTAAAGCATTCCTTCAGGTTAACTGTGGAAAACATACATAAAAATCATTTGTAAGGTAAAAGTCTATAAAACAATATAGACTTTTAACAGTAATCTACGTATTTGGTGAGGGAGCCAAAAACTTAAAATTAATTACACTGACACTTATAAATTTTGCATTTTTAAAAGGACATATGAAATCATATGGTTAATTAAATTGTATTTAAATACATCACTTATAATACGTACTTTACAACCTTTAAAAAAAAGAGATACTTGTCTTGAAATAAAGGCTTGTGAACTCCAATGTTTGAATATTTAAACTGACACCAAAAAAAGTTTTTCTTTATTAACTGAAATCAGCCATAGAGTAACACATAGGGACACTTGAAGGAAGTTAAACAGAATCTAGAGGATGAAAATCAGCAGTTATTGAATCAAAATATTACTGAACTCTTTACATCTATTGTTAATAGTCATCACATTCTCTGTTCTCATTGGTCTGATCTTTTCACAGTTGAGTTACGTGAAAAAAAAATTGATAAAAAATAATATGTGCAAGTAAATGTCAATGAGATGCCAAAATGTTTTAGGATGAGAATCCCCAAACAATAACTCAAGAAATAGCTTCAATACTGTTTCTCAATTTCATAGAAGCATATTATAACATACACCATATCCTTCATCTAGGATAAACATTAATAATAATTTTATTACTCAAACTAAACTTTATCTGCTTCATATAATCATGTTCTTCAATAAAACCCAAACTTCCTTTCATTGGAATGACTCTATATGTATTATAAATGGTAATGTATTATATTCGATTTAACAATTAGTTCCAATACAGTTATCTTTCTAAAAATTTACACTAATGTTACAAGATCACACCAAATTAGGATTTACTACATATTTTGGCAGTTTCTTACCTCTGCCAACAAATTTCTCAGCGTCTAGTTTGGAGGGAACATGCAGTGTCACTTTTTTGCAGGCATCACAGGCAAATATTAAGATCTAAAATATCAAATGAATATTATGCATAAAAATTCCTTTTCATGTGTATATAGTTTATATAAATTATAAATTTATATAATTATAAGGCAGTTTATATAGTTGGCAAAATAAATAAAAAACATACACTGGAGTAAGTAAGAAATCAGAAAAAATTGTGTGGAGGCGAAGAATAAAACAACAGACTGAGAGCCATGGCTCCCCCCTTCACAAAGCAACTCGGAATTCCACTCCCTCTTGGGCTTTGCTCTCTATTCTGTAAAATGGAGTTAACAGTCACTCCATTGACTGACTCAGTGGGTATACTGAGGAACCAATGACAACCTATTGTGAGAGTGTTAAAAAACATTAGGAAGGCAGCCCAGTTATGTAAATAGAAAAGTGAAACAAAAACAAATGTGATGAACCAGCAAATTGTTTCAATTGATTTGCAATTGAGGATGAGCTATGGTACCAAATTAATAATATCCTAAACAAAATCTCAATGCTTTTAAAGAGAAGCATTAACTTATTGCCTTGGAATGACTTGGAGAGTATTATGTATGACCCTATAAACAGGCAAATAACTTTAAATCTGAATGCCATCTGAAGGTGCATCTTCTCACAAATGAGAGTTAAGGTCATTTTAGAAAACATTTCACTTAAAATTTCTTAAATGAGTTAGTGATTTATGGTGAACCACCTCCAATACAACATTTGAATATACTGAAATTTAATTTTGTTCTCTCTGAAATTTTACATTGGATGCGTCTGAAAGATCACAATGTTTTTCTACAGTTTTGCAAAGGCCTTTGATCAAAAGCAAGGTGGCTAACTAGTATTTACACTGTTATTTAAAAAGTCTAGAAACATACATTAAAATCATCAAAATTTGGACGAAAATTTTCATTTCCAATACTCATTACAGAACCTTTGGGGGCTGGCCCCATGGCCGAGTGGTTAAGTTCACTCGCTTTGCTTAGGTGGCCCCAGGTTTTGCAGGTTCGGATCCTAGGCGTGGACCTAGCACTGCTCATCAAGCCATGCTGAGGCAGCATCCCACATAGCAGAACTAGAAGGACCTGCAACTAGAATATACAACTAAGTATTGGGGGGCTTTGGGGAGAAGAAGAAAAAAAAGGAGAAAGACTGGCAACAGATGTTAGCTCAGGGCCAATCAAAGAAAGAAAGAAAGAAACTTTAATTATGCGATTTAAATTACATGTGAAGGATCAGGCAAGGCAGAAATTACATTTCATTTGGAATTTACCGATGGACTCAATGAAGAGACTGTATTTGGATTGGAAATTAAAAGATGAGAAGAATTTCACTGACTGCTGAGTTGAGAGAGAACAGCAGTAGAACCGGATAACTGAGGAGGCCAGCTCCAGGTGACTGAAAGCATACATCCACTAGCAATCATTGTTTACTAGGTGCTAGGCAGTGTTTAAAGGCTACAGCAGTGAACAAAGCAAAGTCCTTGACCTCGTGGAGATTACTTTAGAAGGAGAGACAAAAAAAAATACGCAAATGGACAAAGGTCACATAATGCCAAGAGACAAATGTCATGACAAAAATAAAGTAGGGAAAGAGAGTGACAAAGGGAAGACCAGAAGCCTGAAGGAAATGAGGAAGCAAAGCACTTCACTGACTGTGGAGGAGTCTTCCAGATGGAGCAAAAACAGAACAAAGGCCCTGGAGGGGGACTTCACCTGGTGTGTTGGAGGAACAAAAAGGAGGTCACAGTGGGAGAGCACAGTGAGGGAAGAGTGATGCGAGATGATAGTAAAGAGACAAGCAGGGGCACATCACGTAGAGTCTAAAAGGCTGTAGTAGGAGTGCAGATTTTATTCTGAGTGCGAAGAGAAGCAACAGTAGTTTAGAAGCTTTGAAGTGGCGTAATCTGGAGAGCATTTACATAGAAGCATTCTGGTGGCTATGTGAGAACAGACTACAGAGGAGCAAGAGTGGAAGCAAAGAGACCAATTTGGAAGCTACAGGAGGAATCTAAGAGGGGGACGACGGGGACTTGGACTAAGGTAAAAATGGTGGAGAAGGGGAGAAATGGCCAGATTAAGACAAAACTTTGGGTAACGGTGTCCTGGACGTCCATTCATTCTGCATTCAACAAGTATTTATTGAATCTCCACTACGCACCAGACACAGAATAAACATGATCCTCATGAAACATTCAATTCAAGGGTATGACCTGTTTGCCATTTCAATGAAGTAAGATGAATCTGTGATGGGGAAGTAGAGGGTGCTATGGGAGAGCATTGGGAACAAGCCTTGTTTAAGAGACAGATGATGTCAGCTGAAGAGTGGCCACAAATTAGCCATGTCAAAAGGAGGCAGAGTCGACATGTTCCAAACAAAGGCACAGCACATTCGAAGGCCCAGAGACGACACAGAGCTGAAAATGAAATCGGGAATGGCTGATGCATATAGCACAAGGGTGACAGGAGTCTAACATGGATTCAGAGAAGTAGGCATGGAACAGATTTTGAACAGCATTAACAAAGTATAAGGATTTTTTTTCCTAAAGACAATAAGAAAACACAGATTCATTTTAAGCAGATAAACTACCTAAGTATCTTTCTATTTGAATAAGGTATGTCTGGCCAGTGTGGAGAACGGATCAGGGGGTAACAATTTTCATTTCAAAAAATGGCAACTAGGTCATTCAGACAAACTCCCATGCCAAAACTAAAAATGACGGATACAGTTTTTAACCATCCTAAACCATTTAGCAAGAATTGCTAGGCAAAAGCTGAGGATAAAACTGGAACACAGAGTGGTATGAGGAGCCCAGAAACAACTTCTGATCTGAAAAGATTTGACTCTGGTTTGTTGGCCTCTGAGAGTGAAATCAAAGCGTGGGCCACATAAGATCTGAGAGAAGAGCCACCCACTGGGACCTCAAATACTAAACTTTCATTGTAACGTTGAGTCAGAAGTAAACCAGCTCAAGCATGGATCTGTGGTCCACATTTACATCACTTGCTTAGTCTAGGAACCTCAAGCCATTAAATTAGTTTTAAGAAGGCCTGGCATGTGATCACTACCACAGATGCTGAAAGACCTTTGACCAAATTCAGTAACTCTATTTACATATTTTTGAAAAGCCTCAAAATACAGAAATCGATGAATACTTCTTCAATATGATTTTTATATTATATTATAATAACAACATCAATGGGAAACCACTAGAGGCATCCCCACTAAATTCAGAAGCAAGTAGACTTTCCAAGGTCATCATTTATAGTTAACATTATATTAAGGTATATCAGGCAAGAGGAAAATATTAGATGGCATATGAATTGGAAAGGAAGAGGTAAAAAAAATCTCTATTTGCATTTGATATGACTGTTTATCTGGAAAATCCAAGCAAATCAATCAATAAATTACCACAAAATAATAAGATCATTTAGGTAAAGGAGCAGAAATAACTACTAAAATACAGAAATCATTAGTCTTCCAACACATAAATAAAACCAGTTAAATAATATAATAGAAGACAAGAAATCATTTTCAAAAGCAATAAAAAGTGAAAATGCCAAGGAGTAAACTTAACAAGAAACATGTAAGCCTATTTGAGAAAAATCTGAAAATATTTCTCAAGGACCCAAAAGTAGACTTGCACAAAAAGAAAGACGTATCATTATTTTGGATAGGAAAAATAAACAACACAAATATATCAATTCTCATTAAGTTAAATTTTAAACTTTATGATCCCAATAAAAATCTCAACAGTGTTTTTTCTGGAACTAGACAAGCTGATTTAAAAGGTCATCAGGAAAAATATATAGTTAAGATAGGAAAATTAGGAAAAAGAAAAGCAATAGAAGGATATTAGCCCTAGCAAATGTTAAAAGATTCTATGAAGTCTCAATAACTAAAACAATGCAGGTATATGAATAGATATAAAGATATTAGATGCACACAAACTAAAAAGTAAGAAGTAAAATAATTTCTATTTGCATCTTATATAACTCTATATAGTCCATAAAGGTTGTAACTTTTTGTTACACTCACCAACAATCTATGAGAGTTTCTATTTCTCCAAACTCTTGGATGTTTGCCAAATGAGAAATGAGATTTCAATGTAGTTTTAAATTCATCTTTTATGATTATGAGTGAGGCTAAAATGTTTTTATGGTCTATTTTTATTACTTTATGCTAATTTCTCACATCCATGTTCATGTCTGACTTCTTGATATACAGGAACTCTTTATATATTAATAGATTAGCCTTTTAAAATATGATCTGCAAATAGCTTTTTTCCAGTGTATCAGTTACCTTTGACTTCGCTTATGACGTTTTGGTTTGGTTTGGTTTAGTTTTTTGCCACGGACGTGTGTGTGTGTGTGTGTGTGTGCGTGCACACACTTTAACATAGCTGATTTTCTCAATTTTGATAAATGGCTTTTGAAAGCTGAGCCATAAATAGGACTTCCTGGCTCCAAATTTAAATAGAAATTCACCATGTTTTCTTCTATTATCTGTATAGTATCATATGTTACATTTAAATCTTTCATCTATTTGGAGTTTTCTGTAGTGTGCTGCATGAGGTATGAATTCAACTTTACCTTTTGCCAAATGACTGCCTAGATCAAGTAGTCTCCCACTATATATATATAATATGATCATAAAGTTTACAATTTAACTTAGTGAGAATTGATATATTGTTGACTTTTCCTATCTAAAATAATGTCTTAATGTATATATATGCTATATGTGTATATATATATATATGCTCCTCAATGATGTGCTATGCCATGTGTCATAACATAGCTTTCTGTGTAAACACATACGACCTTTATGGAGAGGAGAGGGAGCTGGTAATGACTAACAAAATTATACAGTCATTCACACTTTTATCCGGCAATCCTATTTCTGGTAATCTGTTCTATTGATACACCTGCCCATATATGAAATGACATATATATAAGTTTATTCATTGTGACATTATTTGTAATAGCAAAAAGTAACAGCAGAGGTGCTGGATGGAAGTAAAGCTATCCATGAGATATTTCTGAATGCAGATTAGTAGGATTTAATGGCGGATTTGGGGAGGGGAGCAGTGAGGAAGGTAAAACAAACAGCTTCCAAACTTCCTACTTGAGGAACAAGGTACATGGTAGCGTCATTTATTGAAATACCGGACACTAGAAGAAAAGCAACATTGTTTGGGAAGATGATAATGCTGTGGCACACTTCACAGTAGAGAGATAAAAGGCCCATTGTTCAATGAGCACATGCACGCTAGCGACATAAATTTAGTAAATGTAGGCACCTGTATATTTGAGTGACAGGACTTATAATAGGGAGTCTAATTCTGGGTGGTCAGGAAGGGCAAAAGAAGAGAGGTGTGAATTTCAAGAATAAAGGCACAATCTACAAGGTGCAACCGTATGATTTGGATTAGCAATGGAGATCCCTGATGATCTTCCAGAAGCTTCACTCGGTGTTTAGGCAGAGGTCAGAGTTCAAGTAATTAAGAAACGTGCGAGGTGACGCAATTTGAGGAAGCGGGAGAAGCTGATTTGGGGAACGGTGAGGGATTACTTGGGTGTGTGGAGAGGAGGAAATGTAAAGCGTGTCCCCCAAAGTCACTCTTATTTAATAACATCTTCTATCACACTTGAGGCTCACGACCACAACAACCATCTGAGGCTGAGACTGGCAGGGCTTTGCACACATATGCACAAGAGGGTCAGAACAACTTGCGGGACTCGCACCAAGCCTTCCAGCTAGAACGCCGCAGCATGCGGGCTGCAACCAGAGGCAGCGCTCTTTTTCTCTCTACCCCACTTCTGGCCTGTGCAGCTTCTTAAGACATTCTAATGATAGTAACAATTACAATTTCATGACTTAAAAATGTAAGGAATTTGCTGTAAAATGAGAGCAGTCGAGAAAGGAAAATTATCCGACTATTTCAGTCCCTCAGTTCCACCTTTCCCAGAAGGAATCTTACTGCTGTCTGTTCTCCAGGTTTGTCCCTTGTCCTTTAAGGTCGACTTGAGCCCCCAAACCTGAGGCTCAACATGAAAGGACGCTACCCAGTTGAGGCCTCTGTTGCACCTAGTGTATTTAACTTCTCTCCTTCCAGGGAACCAAGGACGTCCAGTCTGGGGGACCTCTAATCCCAAACTCTCCCAGGGGCTGTTCCTTCGTACTGAATTCCTTTACTGGGGAACTTCTGATCCTCCAATGAGATCCCAGTCTTTTCTGCCAGGGAGGCAGTAGTCCCGCCCCAAATAAGGCCACCCGCTTGAGCTCCCAGCTCTGGGTAGGCAGGGTCTTTGATATTGTGTTCCTTAAGGTGGGGAAGAAGCCACAGTGGGGAGCAGAAGGCAGAACAGGATGATCACTTCCCCACAAATTAAGGAGAAAGTAACCTCAGGTGGTGAGAAACAACAGAACTTACACAAAGGGTCACGTAGGGCCCGCCCACCTACGATCTTCACGCGCAGAGGGTTGAGACCACCTCCCCCCAACACACACACACACACACACACACACACAGCAATCCTCCCTAAAGCCCGGAGTCCTCTCTTTTCCCCGAGGACAGGCGCTTCCCGTCGCGTCCGCCCAACGGCTCCCCCTCTCCGGCGCCTGAACCCCGCGCTGCGGCCGAGCTGGACTGCACCCTCCCCGGGAATTGCGAGAGGCGCGGAGGGGCAGCGCTGGCACACGGCGCTGGCCCGCTCGTGCCCAGCGGCCACGATTTTGGATGGGCGTTTACAACTCGTGCCTCTGTCTCTTATCTGGTGCGCTGATCCCATCTGCGGAGACACCCTTTGCCTTGCCTTGGGGATCGCGGCGCCAGGTCGCCATCCTCTTTCTGTCTTCCCTCCCCCACCCCCACCAATTCCATTTTTTCAGCCAGCCCATTAACCCCCGCTTTGCCCGCTACCCCCACTCACCCCCGCTCCCAAAGTTTCCACCTTCTCCACAATAGGTCGGAGCCCCCTCCCGGAGGCCGGTGGCCGGGCAGCCACTCACCGTGAGGGTCAGCAGGACTAGCCGGCAGAGGGCCCCGCTCCCGGAGCTCGTGGGTCGGGCTGCCGCCATGGGAGGACTTGGGGACACGTCGGCTGCCGAGGCACCCGGAGGCCGGGATGCGAGGACTCGGCGGGCACAGGGGCCGCGGCCGGGTACAGGCTGGTGCGCAAGAGTGTGAGGCGAAAGAGGTGCAGGGCGAGGAGAGGCGCTTTTCTTCTCGATTTCTCTGAAGCTCCTGCCTCTCACCCAAGGGTCTTTCCCTCTGGCCGAGGGTGGAGCTCCAGGCGCGTCCGAAAGACACCGATCGGCCCCTCCTTGGTATTTTCTCAAGTCTTCATTTCTCTAAGAACGCAACAGGTGGGAACTCCCTTTCGCCGCCTCCCTTTTACCTGCGCTAGGTGTTTCTCACCAGCGGAAGCCACCTATATGCCGCATCTGCCCCCCCGCCCCGGTGTCCGCCTGCAGGATTAACAGCTGGCCCTGCCCAGCTGAAGCCCTGACTGTACAAAGACTCACTCCCCGAGCGCGCGCCCGGCCCCGGCTCCGCCCTGCGCGCTGCCCTCTCGGCCGACTGCGGGCCCCGCTCTGGGGGCAGCTACAGACCCGCAAAGGCCGTCCGGGAGCTGGAGAGGCCGGATTTTCTGTCACGGCTGCCCACAGCCCAACTGTTAGAGGGTTGACCCCAGGGAGACTATTTTACACGCTTTTTGCTGGAGTAAATTCACTGCAGACATCTTAGGGCAGTTCACACGGGGTTTTCATCTGTGCCACACCTTTCTTTGGGGTCTTGGGAGGTTTTTTTTGGAAATTTCATGGCCAATATAACAAAGATATGAGAAAATTACCATAAGTTAAGAGAATAGTAAATAAATAAATAATGGAATCCGGGCTAAAAGAAAATAACAAAATCAAGTGTGAATTACTATGGAAAATGCATCTCTTGAGTCCTCGATGTTGACTAAATATGGGCTACTAATTTTCTCCAAGACCCTCCCTTATCACAATTAAAGCCAACCATTGGCCGTCATAACTTATCTCCTAAATTGGACTCCTGGACATAGAGTGGAAATTTCTCCCTTTCTTTCCTACCACCAAAACCAGAGTTCATGGTAAGAAAAGAAAAAGAATGGGATAAAATTTACCTTTTGGTTTGAAGTGTACTTAAACTGGATGAAATATTGCAGCACTTACCCTGGAAGATTACAATATAAAGGCAGTGTGCTTGCAGCTCTTCAGAAAGCAATGACAGGGCACTCTGACTCATCTTCCACTTCTTTTCAATTACCGGTTTAAACCAGGGAAGTCTGACCACAAAGGAGAAACTCGTCTCTTCCATTTGGTTTGCTTTGTCTCCTCCAGGGTGTTTGGAGAAACCTGTTTCAAGAGCCAACCATGACACTCACGCCATTTCAGTTCTTGAGAACATTTACCATCCTAATGCCATTATACACAGAGCCAAAATTAGTATAATATTGACCATATATTTAAAGTCAAACGTAATGTCAAATGGTACATGCCTTACATTCTATGTAATAAGCCCACGCTCTGTTTTATCAGTGAATGACACACACTGAGCTGTTCTATTCATATCCCTATTCACAAAATTTATCATTGAACCTTTGTTGGTAAAATAAGCTTGGGTCATCAGCATGAGGCTATAGTTGACATCCTTCTGTTTCCATATTTTTTAACCCTCATGTTTTTCCAGCAATGATTTTATAAACACACCTCCTCCTGTTAATGATGACATCATAATCTCTGGCATGAAGCTTTCCAGAGGATGGAGAAGCAAGCTGGTTGTAGGTTCTGGAAATCTTCTCAGGCCATCATCATCGTCCTTGACAATAGGACATTTCCATGCTCTTGCCTACTCTTTAACCTTTAATGCCTTAAGGCTGGCTCATGTTTTTTCTCATTCCAGGAAAGGGTGGAAGAGCAATTTGAAAAGAATTCATCTTAGATATTTATTTTCATTTTTCACACTAGGTAACTGATTGAGGCTATTAAAAGTTGATTTTTTTTTGTTTCATCATGAAATTTTTCTAAACAAAGGAATGAAATATAAACTACTTATTCTAAACAAGCATCTCAATTTATTCAATGTGTTTGGACTAGACGATGTAGTCACTGAAATGGATTCCTCTGTAATACAATTTTGAAACAACAGGTGTAACATGAAATGCAATATGAGTAGAGGAATTTTGTTATTTTAAGAATGTCTTCTGGCTGTGAAGATGATTCTGCTGACTTGAACCGGTTTTCCGTTGTACTATATTAAAGGGTGCGTGGGACCCAAACTCAGGAGCAACCTCCTTTGTGTCTTGGGCTGCTCAAGTAACCTCTCAGGTGTCAGCACTCCCATTCATTAAGTAAGATAATTAAAGTAATACCGGATGCTGTCTATGGTATATTCCACTTCTAAAATTAAACCATTTAGACTTCTTGTGGTGGATTTTTGGAGAAGCTTGGCTGGAAATGGGTATTTATTTGCAGATAGAAAGTCGGAACCACAGTTGTCCTTAAAGAGATGAACAGACAGCAGCGGAAGGCCCGTGGAGCCCATCTGGGCAGCCGAGCTTCACAGTTTTCTAATTTCAGAAACCAGAAACTAAACATATTAATGGCAACAAAAAAACCCCCTCTTACTCACTGATGTGTACATGGTGACAGTTCTCCCTGAGAGCTCTGGGCATGATTCCTGCCAGTCCTCCAGCTGCCGGAGCCTGGGGAGCAGGGTCCACACGGACACTTGATCTTTAGGGCGAATCTATCTCGGCATGGCGTATGACATAAGATGGAAGCCAAAAGCAAAAGAAATACAGGCCTAAGGGAAAAAAACAAGACTAAAGGACATTGTCCAGTTACTTTATAGGTGAGAATAGAGAGGAAAACATCTGATAACCCCAATAAAATGAGCACTGTTATTTACCTCTCAGAGTTGTTGCAAAATTAAATGATATGATCCATGAAAGACATGCAAAATAAAGCCTGGCATATGCTAAGCGTTCCCTAAGTGTTAGTTACTATGGGTACCCCACTCCCCCCTGCCACTGTGCTACCATATCTCTACAACCCACTCATATCCCCCACCCCACCTCATCCCCAGGATGGCTGCCTGGTTCCTGTTCTTCCATCACCTCTCCCCAGGTCCAGGGATAGGGCTGAACCCCAGTGTTAACTCACTCACCACTCCCAAATCCTGGAACCCCCACCTGTCAACATGAACCCCCAGACCTTGTCTGATGCAAATGGATTAACTACGCAACACTAGGATGAAGTGCCACGGTTTGTGCTAGTTGTGTACTTTTTGAAAATTGGGACAAATTTTTTTTTATAAGAATCCTTTTATAATGGGAGAAAAGTTTTTTAAATGTTTCATTGTCCAATAAATACAATATTTATTTTTTAATATTGTCCCTATTTCTTTGAAATTCCCTTTTCAAATAAAACATAGTGTACTAATCAAACTCAATTTCCGTTACATTTCAAAGTATATATTTTTTATTGTTTTAATTGAATTAATTTTTTTTGAGGAAGATTAGCCCTGAGCTAACATCTGCCGCCAATACTCCTCTTTTTGCTGAGGAAGACTGGCCCTGAGCTAACATCTGTGCCCATCTTCCTCTACTTTATATGTGGGACGCCTGCCACAGCATGGCTTGCCAAGTGGTGCCATGTCCACACCCGGGATCGGAACTGGGGAACCCCGGGCCACCGAAGCAGAATGTGTGCGCTTAACCGCTGCACCAGTGGGCTGGTGCTGACATTTCAAAGTATATTTTTGAAATAAATAAGGGATAGAGGGTGAAATAAACTATAAATCAATTCTTATTACGGTACTTTTCCCTTAATAGACTTTCAATAAAACGAAGTGAATGAATGCATTCTGAGGTAATTGTGTTGACTATGAGCAGAGATGGTTCACAATGTCTGCTCTGCCTCATAGATGCCACTGACATATGCCCCCTAGGAGTGCTGTGAATGAAGATACCCTTAAAACTACAAAATTTCCATTTGTTGCTTTACTGATCAACTAATGCAACAAGTATTTATTGAGCATCCACTATGTCTCAGGCATGGTCCTTGGCTTTGAGATGCTGTGGCAAAGAAGACAGAAAGGGGACGTGCTCAAGGAACTGCCTGAGGGTGTATAAAATAACTGGGTAGGACAAGAGGCACTCTCCATCTGAGATTTTCATCGTGCTGACTCCTTTGTAAAAGAAAAGAGATTAATCTCAAGTTAAGTGCAAAAGGATACATAAACAGCATTCCATAAGGATGAAAAATCACCAATAGAAAAACACTTGTTAAATCTGTTCGTGGATTATGAAATGTTACCCTCTTCTTAGATAGCCCTAGAGACGAGAAACTCACGTTCTGTGAGATAACCTCATCTAGAACGTTTGATCTTGGTTTTGACAACAGCATCTGCTGTTGTCTTCGCTTGCTGGCTGTGTCTATGCATTCTTGTTGGCTGGCTCCTCCTGCTCCCTCTGACTTCTAAACATTGCCACACACAAACACACCTCTATTTTTTCAGACCTTCACACTTAGGAGGAGCTTTCTACCACAGGCGCATTGTACATGTTCTTTCCTCGATCTGGAACTTTCTTCCGTCTTTCTGGCCTGGTTAATTCACACCTATCATAAAAATATCAACTTTCATTTTCTCCCCTATCAGATCAATTCCTCTCTGACCAGGTCAAATCTTCCTGATTAAACAGCTGCCTCTTTTTAAAGCACTTGTCATAATTACAGTATTAAATTTGAGTAATTATTTGATTAATACTTCTCACCAAAGACGGTACATTTTCCTGACGGCAGTGACCTGTGTTTCTTGGTTTATGCCGTGTCCCCAGCGCTATGCATCATGAATCCTGGCCCATGGTAGACAGCTAATAACTATTTGTTGGATGAGTGAGTAAATGAATGAATGATTCCTGAGCATTTTTTTGGTAAATAGTTTTTTGCTTTTCTTTTTCTACTTTTTTTTTGTAAGGAAGATTGGCCGTGAGCTAACATCTGTTGCCAATCTTCCCCTTTTTTGCTTGAGGAAGATGGGCACTGAGATAACATCTGTGCCCATCTTCCTCCACTTTATGTGGGATGCCTCCACGTCATGGCTTGACGAGCAGTGCTAAGTCCACACCAAGGATCCAAACCTGCGAACCCAGACCACCAAAGCAGAGCGCATGAACCTAACCACTAGGCCACCAGGCTGGCCCCTTCTTTTTCTATTTTTAATATTTGTTGGCATGTTAAAGTGACGTCTTGGTTCAAATTTAGCAGGGTGGGATTTTCTAATCTGTTCTCAAACTTGACGGACATGTATCAGTACATTTATTAAAATGTGAAATGGGCCTACCAAGAATTTCTAGTGTGATTTTTGCACCAGAACGGGCAAATAGGCTAATGGGTTTTAACTTAGAACTCAGAAAGAGACCAGTGCCGAAATGGGAGCTGAATGTCTCATAAAAGTGGGGCTAACGCACACCATT